TGCCCGCACTGCCTGCCGGGTCAGGCAGATGGGACTGTCGGGGGAGGAGGGCGCTTCGGAGCGGCTCTCTTCCTCCGCCCCGCGGCAACTTCAGGCGGGCGAACTTCACCCCGGCGGGCCCGTGATCTGCCTGCAGGCAGCATTTCCGTGATCTGCCTGCAGGCAGCATTTCCGTGATCTGCCTGCAGGCAGCATTTCCGTGATCTGCCTGCAGGCAGCATCCAGCACCACCCTAATTCCATGCGTCCTGTTATTCCCTGCGCCAGTATGGAACGAACGAATGAATAATGTGCCGTCAAGTCACAACCAGTGTTCCCTCTAAGCTGAGTTAGTGTGAGCTGGCTCACAGTCTTTCAGCCCGGATCCGGCTCACACATTTTCATCTTAGCTCAGGAAGAATGACTCCAGAGCAAACTAATTTAGGCAGTAGCCAAATCACTCGCTCACAACTTTAATGCCGGTAGCTCACCAAGTTGAATTTTTTGCTTGCAAGACTCCACAGCTTAGAGGGAACATTGGCTCACAACTGACTTATGGCGACCTCATCCGCAGGATGGTCAAAGCCAAAGATGAGCAGGGGTGACAAGCCGTTGCCTTCCTCTGCATAGCAACTCCGGTCTTCCTTGGGGGTCTCCCATCCGAGTGCTAACCGTGGCTGGCCCTGCTCGGCTTTCCAGCTCTGACGAGCTTGGGCTAAACTGGGCTACTTGGGCCGCCATGCGAGAGTGGAGCAGATCGTATTTGCCCTGACTTGAACTGCCTCTCAAGTACTTTTGCCTGGGAAACATCAATGCCCTGGGCCCAAAAGCAGTGCGAGAGAGATGTACACCATAGTGCAACGCCACGCAAGGATTATGTGTGCTCCACTGCAAGAGAGAGCGGTGAGCCAGGAAACAAGGAATCACCTGAGATAGCCCCGGCAAGCCTGATCTTGTCAGATCTCAGAAGCTAAGCAGGGCCGGCCCTGGCAAGGACTTGCAAGGGAGACCTCCAAGGAATAACGGGGCCCGGAGGCAGGGGCAGGCTATCAAAATCTTGCGTTTTAGTGTTTTAGATTTAGTGTTTTAGATTTAGTTTATCTAAATCTTGTGTTTTAGTTGTTTTAACATATTCTGTGTAAGCCACCCTGACCCTGCCTTGGCAGGGAGGGCGGGATAAAAATTAAACAAAAAAACAAACAAATAAATAAGCCACTTCTCTGAATGTCCTCCATGCCCCAGTAGGAGTCGCCAGAGGTCGCCATGACCTCCAGGCACGGGGGGGGGGCACAAACACACACAGATGCACAAATACAAACAAAACAGACATCACCTGAGAGCATCCTTATCCCCCCCCCCTCTGTATGGTAAACCTCTTGGGCCAGAGCTATTGAGATGCATGACTTCAGGCAGCTGAGCTTCTAAGATGTTTTGTGTAACTGCTTGTAAAGAGATAGGATAACATAATGGTTTCTGGGGTGGGGTGGGGGATCCAGTCTTGAAAAACCTTGACTGGTTTTGTTGGCTGCCAGGCTGAAGAGTTCCAGAGGGGTAGCTATGTTAGCCTGTCTCAGGAAAAATAACCAGGAGTATTTAAAATAAACCTGTTAGTATTTAAGGTGCCACAAAACTCCTGTTTATGGATATTTTTTTAAAAAGCAGCAGGCCAATGGGTCAAGAAATGCAGAGAAGTACAAGAACAAGGTTTGAGTCCAGTGGTACTTTTAAGACCAGCAAAGTTTAATTCTGGGTAGAAGAAGAAGAAGAAGAAGAGATTGGATTTATACCCTTCACTTGGAATCTCAGAGCGGCTTACAGATTCCTTTCCCTTCCCCTCCCCACAACAGACACCCTGTGAGGTGGGTGGGGCTGAGTAACACAAACGGCTCTTTTTCAAGGACAGCTGTGCCAGAGCTTGTGACTGACCCAAGGTCACATCAGCAGCTGCATGCAGAGGAGTGGGGAATCAAACCCGGTTCTCCCAGATTAGAGTCTGCACACTTAACCACTACACCAAACTGGCTCATGATAAGGCTTAATGTGCATACACACTTTGACACAGGCCCTATTGTGAAATATCTGTTACGTTTAACAGCCCCACATCATCACAGAGCAAACATGCTTGCACGCTTTAATGTTCTGCCATCGCAGGTGCCTTGGGGGAGGTACCGCAAGATACCATATGTAGGCAGACCTTGTTCTCTTAAAGATAATAGAATCCACTGCACACACCATACTTCATTGTCCCTTTTATAGGGATATCCGATCTCATTTTATTACTACACTTTTAGATGGTAAGAGTTGGCATTCTGACAACTCAATTATTCACTTTCTCCTGTTTAACTCTTAATTGTGAAATAATGGAGGCTGTTGCAAAAGTTTTACTTTATGCAATCAGAAGACGATGTTTGAATAGCCAAGTGTAAGTGACTGATATATCTTAGTATTTTGCTGTATCCCCATAATGTTTTGTGCTTTCAGTGCCACTAAAGGCTTGTGTGTGTGTGACTTTGCCAGCCATTACATATGGGGGGAGGGTTTAGTTCCCAGGAAGGGCTAATTGGAGTCAAGATGCATAGGTAATTGAGAGATAGTTATAGCTAAGATTGGATTAAAGCAGTTGGTAAAACCTCTGAATAGCAGCAAATTAGCATAAAAGAGTTACCAAAGAGATGAGAGAACTAAGTGACTTAGCATATGTAGTGAGATAAGAACCCAATATCTCTGTTAAGCCCTGGTGGTTCCTTTGTCCTGAGTGTTGTAATAAATTGTAATTCAGCAATCTCCCATTCTAGTCTGTTTTTGAAATTCCTTTGCATAAAATGGTTCCTTTGAGGTCCCCCATTGAGTGTCCTGGGAGGTTGAACTGTTCTCCTACAGGTTTGTCAATTGCATCTTGACTCCAATTAGCCCTTCCTGGCAACTAATCACCCCCCTACCTATAGTTAATGGTTGGCAAAGTCTGTTTCAATGTGTCTGAAGAAGTGTGTATGCACACAAAAGTTTATACCCAAAATTAAACTTTGTTAGTCTTAAAGGTACCACTGGACTCAAACTTCGTTCTGCTGCTTTCAGACCAATGCAGCTACCCCCCCCCCCGAATCCCTGTTTGGTATTGTGTGCTTAGATAAATAATTATTGTTTTCAAAAGCTGATCCTATCTGATTGTCAGTGCCGGATTTACGCATAAGCTAAATAAGCTACAGCTTAGGGCCTCGCAATCTGCTGGAGCCTTATTTGTCATTTAAAAACCCTTTAATTATGTAATTATTATTTTTAATAAAAATTAAAATACAATATATTTTCAAATATTAAAAAGGCGTATATGTTTTACATTTTTCTGAGACCAGCTGATGTAATTTAAAACAGTAGGGGGCCTCTGGGTTTTGTATAGCTTAGGGCCTCAGCAAGTCTAAATCCGGCCCTGCTGATTATTATCAAATATTCTGCTTTTTAATAGTAAATAAGAGAAGAAGAAGAGAAGAAGAGATTGGATTTTTACCCCGCCCTTCACTCGGAGTCTCAGAGCGGTTTACAAACTCCTTTCCTTTCCCCTCCCCACAACAGACACCCTGTGAGGTGGGTGGGGCTGAGAGGACCTAACTGGTATCAAGCTGAAATGAGTGTCATCTTCTTGAGGCACAACATGGCAACTATTGGCTATAAAGCCATAAAATAGCTCAGATCTATAGGACTCTGTGTGAGAGAAGCATGGATGATCCAAAAGCTGTTGTCCCACAACAAGGGTACAAGGCTGAGGATTCTTGAACTAAGGATACAAGCGTCTTGTGTTTTCTAGGCAATGTAGTTACTGCTTGCTGCCATTCTATTGTATATAAACAGGATTGGCTAATGTGGTGGCAACATTTTTTTATAAATTTGCACAGCCAATCAGCTATCTAGTGGGCAATCAGAAGTTTTGCTGGGCAAAAGCGCCACCTACTTTCTAAAAAAAAAACACTTGGTGGGCACCAGAAAAAGTGTTGGCATGTGCCATGGTGCCCCTGGGCACCATGTTGGGGAGCCCTGCTATAGAAGATAATGAGAATGAAGATGATGAGGCCTTGTGTGGAAAAGAGACCTAAGGAGATATTACGAAACAAGTCTAGCAGCTTCAGGTGATCAATAATTCAGCATGGTAGGAGTGAATAGTGTTACTTTGCATGGAGTTTGGTGTTGTGCTGATGCATCACAACTTGCTGTTGAAGATGCTATGATAATGAATACCTCCATAAACAATATACTGGGGAAAAAGGATATTTACTTTTCAAAAAGACTTAGGAATCCAACCACTACTAATTACTAATCAGTAAAACAACAACAACAACAATCATATGTGAGTACAAGGTGAGATGTAATGATGTAAAATTCAAATATAATCTCAAAAAAAGTAGCCATCACTGATTCAAATAGGATAGACTTGTGGGGAGGAGCAGTGATGGCTTATCATCCTTCCTTCTGGCAGCAGGAGAGAGGCTAGATCTATCTTTGGTGCCTTCCAATAACCCCATTGTTTTGAACAAGTTCCTGTTTTTAGAACCACCAGCTTGAAACCTGTGTGTCTTTTGTCTGAAACGTAGGATGGATCCATGCTGTGACACATCTTCTGCAAGCGAAAGCACTGTCATGCAATACAATCATGAACACTTACGTTGAGAAATAAATCTTGCTGGGTTCAATTATTCCCTAGTTGCTATGTTCAAGATTGTAGTCTAAAACCGTGTGACCCTCAAGTAACAAGGACTGCTGCATAGTTGGATGGATTTTACCTCCTTCTCAGGTGGACACCGTGTTTTCAGTAGCAATTATGAATTCTCAGAAATGTCATGTTCTGGCCTTTTTTGTCTTCAGTGTTTTGCTTTCAATCATATTGTATACTACAAAACTATCTGAGGAAAACAGGCTGAGGATGTACAACCAACCAGCAGCCACTGTCTTGCCAGAAGTTTGTGAAGCCCTTAGTGAAGGAAAGACCACTTGGGTACCAGAGAACCTGCACATGGCACCATTTGGGCAATCCAACTGCAATGGTTACATGACCCAGAATCACTACATCACTAGAACCCTCTCTGTGGAAGAAGCTGCATTTCCATTAGCCTACATTGTAACTCTGCACAAACAATTTGATATGTTTGAGAGGTTCTTCAGAGCTATTTATATGCCCCAAAACGTATACTGTATCCACATAGATAAGAAAGCTGCCAGTGAGTTCAAGAAAAAGGTAGAGAAACTGTTGCACTGCTTCCCCAATGCATTTCTTGCTACAGAAACAGAGTGGGTGGTTTATGCTGGAGTATCCAGGCTTCAGGCAGATTTGAACTGCATGAAAGATCTTGTGAAATCCAAGGTGCCCTGGAAGTACCTTCTCAATGCTTGTGGACAAGACTTCCCCTTGAAAACCAACAAGGAAATAATTCAGCACCTGAAACGGTTTAAAGGGAAAAACATCACTCCAGGGGTACTGCCTGGACCTCACATTCTGAAAAGGACAAAATATGTCTACAGAGAACAAAGATACTATAGCTTTTCTTTCATGTTGGGGACTTTCCTGAGGAAAACGCCTCCTCCACACGATCTGCCCATCTATTTTGGCTCTGCGTACATTGCGGTTGCCAGGGAATTCGTCGACTTTGTGCTCAAAGACCCCCGTGCTGTTGATCTTCTTGAATGGTCCAAAGACACCTACAGTCCTGATGAACATTTCTGGGTGACACTCAACAGGATACCTGGTATGTCCCCTTTCCTTCAATCTGTGTGTTTTCTTTAAAGTTTGACTGTGTTGTTTTACAGTGTAATCTTACCTCAAGCTATGTCTGCTGGCTGAAGATAAGATTGCAACGAAATCCCCACATGACAGCAGAACACCATGATATATCCAGCATAGTGGAGTCACAGGAGCACTGATGCTAATACATTAATTGCGTTTTGTTGGTGTAACTACTAAGGCGGGTTGAAATACATGAGGCAAAAAGGGTGATATGTGGGACATGGAAGCGGGTCTTGGTTAAATCCTTCGTTTGCTCGAAGCCTGGTTCCTCTCTCTGAAGCACGATATATTTCAAGACTCCAGTTTGAATGAATGGGGCTTCAAAGGATGGCCCCCCTGCCTCATCCTCTCTCACCTCCACAGCTACAATGAAACACGAGATTCTGACAAACTACAGGCAGCCTTGGCATGCTACCCCTGGTAGATAAGGCCTACCAAGGAACATATCCAGACAAGTGGGTACATTACCTGGAATGAAAATAAGGATAAAAATGTAACAGCTACATAAGTACACAGAGCCCTTTTTAGACCAGCAGAATATGACATAGTGGGATACAGAATTAGGTACTGGTGTACCTAATGGTGGTGGTGGTGGTGGTAGTAGTAGTAGTACTGTACTTTCTGTTACAAAGTTGCTTCCAAGATAGATTGCATTTATCTATTTTGGAAAACTACGCATGCACAGTTAATACAGTTTTTGACTTAAATGCAGTTGCTGTTGGATAATTTATACAGACGATATTCTGTGAATACATAACTTTGCTTAGCAGAGCCCTTTGCTTATACAGGGGGCTTCATTGCTGTGAACCTGGTTATATCTCTGAAAGCCTCCTTTTTACTCTTACTCGATGGAGTTTTTTAGTCTACTTTACCCTGTTTCCCCGAAAATAAGACCTACCCAAAAAATAAGCCCTAGCATGATTTCTATGCATTTGTGGTATAAGCCCTAGTGTGTCTTCTTGAGAAAAAATAAATATAAGACAGTGTCTTATTTTCGGGAAAACACGGTAGTTGTAAATGGTTGTTTGATATATCATATTTGATGAAACTAAACCCATTGTGATGATATTCTGGTCCTTCATCTCTTTATGTACGATACATCGTTAGAGTTAGTACAGATTCTCTGTGAATCAGTTTGTTATGGGTCTGTTTTTAAGTTTACTTCACTTACTTATGAAGTGATGTGTTAAAATACTTGCTTCTGTTTCTCAAACACACTAAAATTGATTTATCATATATTGAGTACAGTCTGGGCCAGTTATAGTTAATATAAAAGGCACCATACAGCTATGGGTTCCTGGAAATTTTGATCATCTAAGTTGCTTTTAAACAAAGTATCTCCTAGGTTGCTCAAAAACATGATGGCTGTAACCACATACTCTAAAATGATCAGAAACCACAATGTGAACAGAAGAGCCTTGTTATATTTTATTTGATAATATGCCTTGTAAAAATCAAATCCTTGGTCATTTAAACTGATATTTAAATAATTATTTTACATATTGTTACCCAAACTGTCTGTCTCCTTTTAACTGGGGGAATTTAGCATGGAGACAGTGTTCTGCAAAATGGGTGTTACAGACAGGATCACACATCTATATATACCAGGGTCAGCTTCAGGGAGAGAAACTCTCAAATAACAGAGGCTAAATTGAAGGATGGTTGTTTTATTGAAAAATACTTATTAAGGCATATACACAAAGCAATCAAATTACACACTCATACAAGGCTACAGAGAAATGGAGGACCTTAGAGACATATCGGGAGTTTTTGAGATGACATTTACTAATGCAGATGTGCAGTGGTCCATTGAAAGAGGGTTGTGAATGGCCAGCATATCACAAACAGGAGGGGACTCAAACTGTGAGTTTGGGGGAGTACTCTGTAAGGAGCCCTAGACTGTCACAATGAGCTGTGGCTGGGCAGCTGTTTTTATAGATTATAGAAGGTATCCTGAGCGGCAGGACTATGGGTCTTAACAAAGGAACCAAAAGGTTTCCAATCTTTGATTAGGGGTTTCCCAAACCTTAAACAAAAGGTATGATGGCTGATATTATCTGATACTTCAAAGTTATTAGCTTTTGGTAACCCAGAATAATTGCTCAAGAAAAGGACCATAAATCTGTTCCCCAGAAATATGTTTACATTTACATTTAAGCAGGGCTTTTTTTGTAGAAAAAGCCCAGTAGAAACTCATTAGCATAATAGGCCACACCCCTAACAGGGCAGCTCATTAGCCTATTAGGCCACACCCCATGCCTTCCCTTGGCTTGGCCGGGGACCCCGCAGCTGCGGGGAGCCCAGGCAAGCCCCCCCCCTTGAAGAGAAGGCCGTTTAAATTGCCTTCTCTTGGCTTGCCCAGGCGCCCCACGGCTGTGGGGAGCCAGGGCAAGCCGGCCCTTGGACAGGCCCGGGAAGGCATTTAAATGCCTCCCCAATCCTTCCAGGGCCTCCCCAATCCTCCCCAATCCTTCCAGAGATACCCATGGTCCCCACCGTTCGGATGAAGATTGCGAAACAACTTTGTAGTCCAGAACACTTTGTTTACTATTTTGGACCTCTCCTCATACATGTATATGATTGTTGGACTTGTGTCAAAATGCAGCATTGAGTTTTGTAAATCTTGTCAATTTGGTTCTTAGCACGAGTGCACAACCCTACTGAGCCACCAGGTGACTTGAGGACAATCATTGCAATGTAAGCGCCTTTGAGTCAAGTTGATCAGGAGAAAAATGGGATATACCTATCATAAATAAAAATAAATAAACAAAGGGCAATGCCCGCGGCCAGCATGGCGAACCATCTGATGAGGCTCATAGCCTGAAAAGGAGCCCACCGACAACCAGATGTGCTTGGCCTGTCTGCTCCCACCAGAAACAGGAGATCATCGAAGAGCCTCTGCAGCTCTTTTGCATACCTTGCAAACACTGATGGGGTTCAAAGAGCATGACGTGATTATGCTCCACTCTCTCCTCTGGGTTCTGTAGGTCTAGGCAGGCTCATGACGGGGCAGCAGGTTTTGTGGAAGGCCAGTGGAGGATGTGTCTGATGGTGAAAGGAAAGTCCGATGCTGCAAAGAACAATACTACATAGGAACCTGGAATGTAAGATCTATGAATCAAGGTAAGCTTGATGTGGTCAAAAATGAGATGGCAAGACTTAACATCGATATCTTAGGAATCAGTGAACTAAAATGGACAGGAATGGGCGAATTTAACTCAGAAGACCATTATATCTACTACTGTGGCCAGGAATCTCGTAGAAAAAATGGTATGGCCTTTATAGTCAACAAGAGAGTGCAAAAGTCAGTACTGGGATACAATCTCAAAAATGACAGAATGATTTCAGTCCGATTCCAAGGCAAACCATTCAACAACACAGTAATCCAAGTCTATGCCCCAACCACTGATGCAGAATAGGCTGAAGTGGACCAGTTCTATGAAGACCTACAACACCTCATAGAACTAACACCAAAAAATGATGTCCTCATCATCATAGGGGACTGGAATTCTAAAGTAGGAAGTCAAAAGGTAACCGGAATAACAGACAAGTTTGGCCTTGGAAAGCAAAATGAAGCAGGGCAAAGGTTAACAGAGTTTTGTCAAGAGAACACACTGGTCATAGCAAACACCCTTTTCCAACAACCTAAGAGGCGACTCTACACATGGACATCACCAGATGGGCAACACCGAAATCAGATTGACTATATAATTTGCAGTCAAAGATGCTCTATCCCTATCCAGTCAGTAAAAACAAGACCTGGAGCTGACTGTGGTTCAGATCATGAGCTACTCATTGCAAAATTCAGACTTAAACTGAAGAAAATCGGGAAAACCACGAGGCCATTCAGGTTTAACCTAGATCGCATCCCTGATGAATATACAGTAGAGGTGAAGAATAGATTCAAGGGTCTGGATTTGATAGATAGAGTGCCTGAAGAACTATGGACGGAGGTTCGTGACATTGTACAGGAGGCAGCAATCACCACCATCCCAAAGAAAAAGAAATGCAAGAAAGCAAAGTGGCTTTCTGATGAGGCTTTACAAATAGCAGAGGAAAGAAGGAAAGCGAAAGGCAAAGGCGAAAAGGAAAGATTTACCCAACTGAATGCAGATTTCCAGAGAACAGCAAGGAGAGATAAGGAGGCCTTCCTGAATGAACAGTGCAAAGTAATAGAAGAAAACAATAGAATGGGAAGGACTAGAGATCTCTTCAAGAAAATTGGAGAAATCAAGGGAGCGTTCCATGCAAAGCTGGCCATGATAAAGGACAAAAACGGTAGGGACCTAACAGAAGCAGAAGAGATTAGGAAAAGATGGCAAGAATACACAGAAGAACTATACAAGAAAGACCTCGATGTCCTTGACAACCACGACGGTATAATCACTGACCTCGAGCCAGACATCCTGGAATGTGAAGTTAAATGGGCCTTAGAAAGCATTACTAACAACAAAGCTAGTGGAGGTGATGGTATCCCAGCTGAGCTATTCAAAGTCTTAGAAGATGATGCTGTTAAAGTGCTGCACTCCATTTGCCAGCAAATTTGGAAAACGCAACAGTGGCCACAGGATTGGAAAAGATCAGTATACATTCCAATCCCAAAGAAGGGCAACGCCAAGGAATGTTCAAACTATCGCACAATTGCACTCATATCACACGCTAGCAAGGTCATGCTCAAGATCCTACAAGCTAGGCTTCAACAGTACGTGGATAGAGAACTACCAGAAGTACAAGCTGGGTTTCGAAGAGGTAGAGGAACGAGAGATCATATTGCCAACATTCGCTGGATTATGGAGAAAGCAAGAGAGTACCAGAAAAATATCTACTTCTGCTTCATTGACTATGCTAAAGCCTTTGACTGTGTGGATCACAACAAACTATGGCAGGTCCTTAAAGAGATGGGAGTACCAGACCACCTCACATGTCTCTTGAGAAACCTGTATAAGGGCCAAGAAGCGACAG